GGAGCCGCGCGCGCAGGGAGAGGGGGTCTGGTCGGAGCTGCGCGCAGGGGGAGGGGGTCCGGTCAAGAGCTGCACGCGGGGAAGGGGTTCGCGGGGGGAGGGGGTTCTGGCGCGGGGGCTGTCGGGACTGGCTGTTTGGAGGTTCCACGTAGATCCGATTCAACCAATCAAATGCCTCTCCTCAGTGCTAAGCACCGTTGCTTGGAGAAGCAACAAAGAAATTTTTTTAAGCAACTGGGTTGCCACGTGAGATCACTCCAACGGGGATTTCTTCTAAGCACCGTTGCTTGTCAGTAAGCAACGCTCTAAGAACTTGCCGCTGGAGGTGCTCTTATGAATCCAAGTGTACTCCTTCGACACCTTCAAATGCCAAGACACTTTCAGGTGTTTTATTTCCGACCCGGACAATTTTAGGGGTCTACAGTGATCGATAGTATGAGAAGAAGAACCCGAGGGTTCAAACGAGGACAAGTAGAAGGACAAAGGTGAGGACAAACTCCCCGATAAAGAACTTGATTTAAAAAAGCCACTCATTCTTAACTGAAGTGAATTGGAAGGATGAAAGATATTAAGAAAAGAAACAAGAGAGTTTATGACATTGAAGTGAAGAAGACAAAATGAACACCCCAATTTATAGAAGAAGAATCGCTAAAAGGAATCATTGTGAAGAATCATGATTAATGGTCGTCAAGTCATGAATTTTCGTATACTTGGTTTGTGAACATCTCATAATGAGGGGAAGTGAAAAGGTAGCACAGGTGAGATAACAAACAAGATTGATGCCAAAAATGTCACTTGATAAAAAGATATATCCATCGACTCAAGAAGGAAGAGATGTTGCAGTCAAAATGAAACGACAAAAAAAAACATCTTGTCTTTTAAAAAATTCTTGAGGCTTGGAGACATATAGATCAAAAGGGTTTTAAAGGCACCGAAAGGTCCTTGAATAACATAATTTACCACTATGATTAAGCGCTAAGGCCATAAGATGTGGTGAAAGGTCCTTAGGTAAGATATGTCGCCAACATTCATCAATTTAGGATATTTCATCAATGTTGCCAAGGCCCAAGCTAAGGTCAAGAAGAAGGCTAATATAATAAACTTATATAGCAAAAGCCAATGAATCGAAGTTACATATCTTAAAAATATAATACATTGTAAAACATTATCCGTGAAATAAGATAATGGTCCACTGAAAGGGTCCAAAATCAATAAGCTTAGTATAAATAATGATGTTAGGAGTGGTAAATAAACAATGTAAACCCACATTTAATCTTCAAGTAGTGCTTTGGAGTGGAGTCTTTACTTAAATGTTCATAATGCCTTTTGCAAGCACTCCACCCCTTCTATCCTTCTTGGGATGTTGAGAGACAAAGATTCTTCGCCAACAATTACAAAGTGGAGGCTATGATGAAACAAATGACTGAAGTACAATTGGACTGATACACATGAGAACAAGAACTTCTATCTTTCCTTCTACGATAGGTGGCCCCTAGACAGCTACCAAAATCATTAGTCACAAGAATTAAGACTACAAGTGATTAACAAAGGCAACTAATAATGTGATTTTAGAAGGAAATAAAATCAAATATTTTTAAGGATGTTCATGGATCAAATTTTTAAAAAATCCAAACTGAACTAAACTGATCCATCTTATAAAAGTTGATCAATTAACTGATTTATTTTTCATAAAGTAGATCAATTTGGTTTTTTTAAAATATAGGTCATTTTTTTTAAAACTAGATTAGTTTGATGGGGTGTGGTTACCCATTTTATACCCATATATAGATTGTTTTTAAGAAAATCGAATTAAACCCAATCGATCCACTTTGTAAAAATAGATCAAATTATCAAATCGGTTTTACAAAGTGATTTGGTTAAGATTTTTTCACAAAACGGATCAATTTTTTTAATGTGGATTAGTTCGTTATGAATTGGTTTGGATTTTTTGAATACTCCTAAATATTTTTTAGTTAATTTGTATGCCGAAGGTAACACAAAATTTGATCAAGAACTATGAAAATAGTTTGTGCTCGATTGATGAGTGGAGGTGATAGAAACAATTAGATTCGTAGAAAAATATGGAAATTCTTCTTATCATAGTATAATCACAAAACATCTAAGTTTTGTACTCCCAATGCCCAAAAGTCTTTACTTTTCTTAATTACAAATTATCTCCAACCCATTTCTCAATCTTTATTCTTATTTATAGGTATTAATTATGTCTTATTTCTTATTAAATAGCCCCCTAATTACAAATAATTAACTGAATCTAATGATTATCTCACTAAGGCCATCAACTAACTTGTACCAATGAGAAACCAGAAGACCCTTTTCTAAATATAGGGAGATAAAGGGTCCTCTCGAAATAAATCCTTTTCTGAAGAGAAAAGATTAACCAATTCATTATTCTATTTCATCGTAAGAGACATTGAAGATATACAATGTAAAATAAGATCAACCATTTTTTTTTCTTCTAATGATACATAACATTTTTGTGGTGACCTAACAAATAACAATGCAAAGTTAAATGGATCTGAATAGTGTAAAGGATACTGAGGAAGATCCACCCTAGGAATCAAAGGTGATAATTTTTGAGTTCATTTCCTTAATATTAGTTGGGCATTCAAACACATTTTGAACAAATGGGTAATTTTCAAGTTGAGTCCGATGGTGCAAATACCTAAGGCAGATTTAGTTTCTTGACTTTCTTCAATAGAATTTGACTGATGCACTATCTATAAATCACTTTGAGAACAAATAGGTAATGTGCAAGTCATGCCAGATGAACAACAGCAGGAGAATGATCTTCATACTTGTAAATCAAAAGAAAAATAAAAGGCCACGACGAATACTCTCTTCAACAAAATTTAAAACTCTTATTGTGTAATAGCTCATGTTAACCGTATATATAACTAGAAAGCTTAACATAACTTAATTCAAAATTATAGGTGACGAAACATATGAAGATAAGCATTCTTGCTTACTCTTCTATCATCTTTTGTTGAAATAAATTCACAATCAACAAATATGATGTTATAATTAAGTATTCTGCTTAACTCTTCTATCATTTTCTGTTGAAATAAATTCACAATTTACAAACATCATGTTATAATTTATTTTTCTTTCATTTTAATTAATATGCTAAATAACTAAAAAAATACTACTATTTTTGCTTTATTTTTAAGATTTTCATGAGAAATGTTGAAAAGAAATGCTCGTTTTGCAATTTTCTATATAGTCTTAAAACAACAAAATCAAGATGGGTATTTTACAAATCAAAATTATTAAATAAAATATAATAATATAGCAAACCAAAATTCTCTAAATATGCAACGATGATGTCAATACAAGGTTAAAATTTTGACAAACTTTTAAATGGGGCAACATTTCACTATTTTAAAAGTAGCATTTGCATTTTGCAATACAAACATAAAAAATATTTTCCCATTCATCTTCAACTGGCCTTAATCGAAGAACACAAAATAGTCATACAAAGGTTGTGCCTAGACATTGAAAGTAAGAAATCGCTCTCCCTCGTACAAATTAGCCCATGGCGTATTTTTGGGTCCAGCTTCTTGCAGTTGACTCATACTTGTTCCTGTCTGTCTTGTACATGTGGGCAATTTCAGGGACCAAAGGATCATCGGGATTTGGGTCTGTCGATAGGGAACAAATTGAGAGCAACACCTAAAATTGACAAAAACAAACAAAGTAGGTAATCATATCAAAGTGCAAATTTAAAAGAAGATATTTTGGACTCACTATCACCCTGAAAGGGATTAGATCATAACCAATCACATTATTGTGAACTTCATGCAAATTAGCTTTTACAACTTCAACAATGAAAATAACCGAGCTTTATATAAATCAAAAGAAATGCTATTCAAACTTAAAGACACAAGAACTTATATATAGACAAATACTAGTGTTGGGAAATTTGGACTAGACTAGCAGGTTGAACCAATTAGGCCATGCACCAGGCCTCCTTCCAGATTGGTCAAGATATTCTATCTAGACAAAGCAAGACTGACTCGATTGAACCAGTTTGATCCATGCGATCTGACTAGTTTCTCATACAAATACTTTATAGTGTCAAACTCAGGATCTGAACTAGATAATGTTATATTACTTCATAAGTATATATATTAATATCTATTATATTTATTTAACATTAAAAGTTATATTTAATTATCGCTAATTCTCATAAGGTTAGATTAATAAATCATAATACTTGTTATATAGCCTTTGAAAACATAAATAATGGACCAGGGTTCAACTATCTCAAACTTAGACTATACTTTTAATTATATCTCATAATTTTAATTTGTTGAAAGGAATAGAAAATATACTCAGCGTCATCATAAATAAAATTTGAAGTACTGTTCAAACTTTAGAGATAGACGGTAATTAAAAAATAAAGGTTTAAAAATACAAAGGTTTGTTCTAACTATATGATAAGTGAACAAACCTTAGAAATGGTTAGAGCAGGGCTCCATTGCTCCTTCAATATATCAAGGCAAATACTTCCATTACTATTTATATTTGGGTGGAATACCTTTGTCCTAAATGCAACCTGAAAGATCCATCACCATACATAAATAAGTACACACCAAATAATAGTTGGAGTTATATGGTTCTCATGAGTCATGACAACATACTTCATATATATGTTCAAATATACAAAAGGAATTTGGTCCTAATTAAAATTTTTAACTGAACCACACCACACACTTACAGTGTTTGTTTTTTTTCAAAAAGAAAAGATTATGCATAAATCTTTTTATCATTTTTTGGAAATAAGTGTTCTAAAACATAAGGAAGAAATTCTAACAAAACTAGGGAAAATGGACTACAACATTATACAAAATAAACTTATAAAGAACTAAAGATAGTTAAGGTATGAAACACAACACAAGTAGGCATCTAATTGATATACAGACCTTGGGTGGCTTAAAGGGATAATCCGGAGGGAAATGAATGGTCACTAGGAAAACACCTCCAGCATAAGGACTGTCTGGAGGACCCATAATTGTAGCTTGCCAATGAAACATATCTTCAGCAACAGGACCTACAATGTTTTGAACAAACAACAAAGCATGACATAAGCACAATTTTTATTTTATAAATGCAAGCACAGGGTGTATAAATTCCTATAATGATAATGCACATAGTATCCCATCGTGTCAATTAGTTAATTTACACTATTGAGAAATGAAAAGGTGAAAATATAGTTCCTAACAATTTTATCCAACTTTGATTATCATCTAAACTACAAAGACTACAATAGTACTATTAATTTATTTTTCCTGTTTAGCGATAAATTGCTTTGAAGTAATGTATATATGATAAATTAGTGTAGTCCTTTGGCCAACATACAAAACATGCTACACAGTTCCCAACAATAAAATTGAACAGACATCCAAAATAGGAAACAAAACATACAAAATACATGGTTCCCAGAAATAAATTGAGCAAAAATCCAAAATGGGAAACAAAAGTGAGAAAAGTCCACAATTAAAATTACAACAAAACTTACATCAAGTTTCTCATATCCTTACCACCATGTTCTTAAACAAAACAAGGACATGTGGATACTTATGATACATTTGGGAGTAGTGTTTTAGAGCAAAAGAGAAAGGAGGGAATTTTTTCTTCTTTATGTTTAACTTAAGGGTGGTTTGGAAAAGTTATGAAAAATAAAATATTTCAATAATCAGTTATTGTTATAATCGATTATAATTAGAATGAATTTTTGTTTGAATAAATTTTCTACAAAGCAATGTTTAGATATTTAATTTCAATTGGATAAAAAAAAACCTTTTATGTAGCAAATCAATTTTAGAAGAAAAAGAAAACTATTAAAAATAATCACAAGCTTCAAAATTTCAGATTAATGAAAACATATCTTATTTTTCAGAAAAAAAATTGTTTATAAATTTCAATTAGTTTCTCAAACAACTAGCTTATTTCATCAACTAGATTTTTTTTTCTATATGAGAACAGTTGAAAGTTGGGAAAATCATCTTTATGACAAACATATAAGGAACATGATCAAGTTTTGTTCGTAAAAATACTCATGATCACATATAAAGGTCTGGACCACACTCTGACAATAGTATGTAAATTTACAACTACAATAGCTCCAACTTCCTTTGTCGCATAATCATGCCATAAAAGATAAAAACACATAGGGCAACCAACAGATGCATGATCCAGGAAATAAAACATTGAATCATGAATGACGGTGCACTTCAAAACGAGAATAGGGAAGGTTGGGAAACATGTATCTTATTCCCACCTAGGCATGGTAATGTAACCTATCCCCGTAGATACCCGCCCGAACCTGTCCTGATTTGGACGGGGAAAACCTGTGTTTATCGGGTTCGGGTTCGGATTTTCTCAAATAGATAAAATCGGAGGCGGGGGCGGGGACGTTAATACCCACCCCGCCCCGTCCTCATACCTGTCCCGCTTAATAATATAATTAAAAAATTATTTATATATATATAAACCAAAATTAAAAATATTTATATGTAAAAATTTATAATTTTTTTTTTATTTTTTTAAAATTGTTCATATTTATCTAAAAAGAAAAAGAAAAAAAATAGAAGCGGGGGCGGGACGGGAAAACCCGAACCCCGTCGGGGACGGGGATGAGAACCTAGATTTTACCCCCAGCAGGTATCGAGAGCGAGGGCGGGGCGATTTAAATTTGCAGAAGCAGGGGTGGTGAACGTAAAACCCGCCCCCGCCCTGTCCCATTGCCATGCCTATTCCCACCTCCATAAACCATACGAAACAAAAACTGCTTAGAATTATACATTCCCCTAAAACGATTTTCATCTATAGCAAAAATTAATTCAAAATTCAATATAGAACCCCGATTATTTCTCCTTCATCACCATCATGCCACAAAGAGTTTGCACCTTAAGCAAGCCTCTTGACAACACTTTAACATAGAACCAACCAAATTTTTTTCAAATCCAAAAATGACAGCTAGACCAATCTCAAACGACATCCACTACAACCGATTGAAACAAATCTCAACCAAGAACCAAAGACTCAAAATTCTCAACAAGCATTCTTCAATATACAAATACTATGTTAGAAAATTGGAATCCTATAACTTCTTTCTAACTAGATTAAAAACCATCTAAAGTAAGCAAACATCAAATATTCAACAAAAAAAATAAAAAAATATCAAACCACCAAAAAAATTTAAAAATATATACCAGCACTACAAGAAGTTGGAGGATCTTTCTGCAAATCCTTAAGTTCTTTCAAAATTCTCTTGGACGCCATCACAAAAACCTAACAACAAATTGAAACACAACTCGGCTCAGATCAAAACACAACACGAATAGATCGAAAAACATGCACTAATAACACATGAATGAAATAAATAATTGAATTTGTATACCTAGAGAAAAAGCAAGAGAGATCCTCCTTCGATTTTGCGACGTAGAACGCAAACTCGAACGAGAGAGAGAAGGTGCGAGAATTGGAGAAGGAAAATGAGTTTTATATGAATGGTGTGTGGGGCTTCAAAATTGATTCTCTTCTCTGTGATTGATTGGACTTGGATTATTCTTCTATAGTTGGTGATATTAATTAATAATTATTATCTAATTATTTAATTATTATTTATTGGTTCTAATAATGACTTGTCATTGAAGGAATCTTGCTTTAGGGTCCACAACGAATATCGAGAAATGTGATTAACTGCATTGCACCTTTAAAAGGCTATATTTTTTTTTGTTTTGGAATTTACTTAAATTTAAATCATTTTATTTTATTACACAAGGATTTGATTTGAATGTGTAATTAAGTAATTTTTTTTATGAAAGTGATTTATATAATTTTTAGAATTTTTAAATTTAATTTGGTATATTTTAATGTAAAATTCATTGTAAAAAATTTTAACATAAAAAAAAAATAGTTTTTAATCCTTATAATTTTGGTCAAACCTTATTAGGGCCTATTTACTTTGTCATGCTTTCTAAATTTAAGAGTCTAAATTTACAGATTTTTAAAAAATGGATAATCAAATTCATTAATATAAAAAAATAGAAAAAAAAGGATTTAATTATGTTTGACTCAAAGTATATAAATGAAAAACAGAAGAAAAAAAATTTAAAACTGTTATTATATTATTCCATTTTTTTGATTAAATTAACTTGATCCAAGACAAGACTATATCCACTGCAGGATTTAATTCAATTTATTAACATTTGAATTTTTTTATTTCGACTTACATTGAATATTTTCATATACTTAATATTTGAATTTTTTAATTAATAGGCCTAATCTTTTTTTTTCAAAATTACACAATTTCATTAAGTTATTTGTTTTCATATTGGTTTGTCTCAACTACCAAGATTATGTCTAGGTCTCAATCCAATCAAATTAAGTTTCACTATATTTAAACAAATATACAAATATTCTTTTAACAAGCCACTTCTAGTTCAACTCTAAGTATTCTTTGACTTGCCTCTTCATGCAACTACCTCATTATTCTTTTAACAACAAACCTTTTCATACTTCCCCTAAAAAAAAAAAAAACAAACCTTTTCATACTTAATAATCAAGTATTCTTTTACAATTAAGTCTCTCCAGGTTCAAAATAAGTATTTTTTTAGGTAAGCCTCTCCAAACTCAACCTTATAACAATGGTTATGAAGGTTACAAGTTTTATGTTTGTCTCATGTTATACAACCAGTACAAATCAATGAATGTTTATAAGAAAAAGTAGATTTACAAAGAGTATGTTTCTATACAAAGTATATGTATCACTTAAAACTGGTGTTTGTATTATATAAAAAATATGTCTCTCTTATGTAAAGAATTGTCTCTATCTTTCTTATACTTTGAATCTTCTTATATAGTAGCTTAGAGAAGATAACCATTGCAATACTTTGAGTCCAGCTCACAATTTGCTTCATTTGTCTTTATTGTCTTTCTTTGTGATAACAAGTGATCATTTGACTAATTTAATGCATGCATTAGTTGTATTTCATCAAATGATACCTCTTATCTGATCAAGGAGGCTACTTATCATCTTTTCATACTAAATGAAACTTGAAGAGGTAATATTAGCATAATGCAACAACAATAGTGACTTTATCTAGTTTTCTCCATGATTTCAGGAATCTTGTTAAGTCAAAAGACAATCTTAAATCCCTTAAGTTTTGATAATAATAAACAAAATATTTTCCTTTAAACAAAATGATTTATCTACAAAGATATTTTATATCAAACGAAATGTGAAAAATATATATTGTTTGTAAGATGAAGTATACAGTCTGTCTCATTATGCATTAAACGTATACTTTCAAGTGAGACTAACATTAAATTTCATTAAATGTTTTATTTCTTAACAAATCAAACAAAAAATAAGTCTTGAAACTCTTGAAATCTGTTAAAGAAGAAAAAGGCAATTTATTCGTCAAAAATAAAAGGCAAAATCTTGGATATCATGAAAAAGGATTTGCAAATAACTACTTTGCACTAACTTCAATTGTAGATAGGTCGTCAATCTTAGCCCCAAGAATTCTGTTGTGCCAATAAAGGGGAATCCTCAAAGGTTAACATATTGCTGATAACATTTGCATAACATGTTGAATGATAAAATCTTTGGTGGGAACTTGGCAATCAAACTAGATATTAGAAAAACATTTGATACTCTTGATTGGAATTTTTGACTCTTAACATCGAAGGCTTTTGTTTTTTTCGCAATCGTTGTGATTTACCAATGTTGTTTAGACTTTGTTGATGTTTCATAAGTATTGGTCTAGTCCCTCGTGAATTTCTCTATTACATTTTTTTTTTCTTTTTAATCTTATTTAGGGATGTTGTAGATGATTGGTAGGTCTTGTTGTGTTAGCATTGTTAGATGACTTAATTCTATGATGATGTCGAACTCTCCTAACCTTATTAAAAAAAATGTAACTACTTTTTATTTTATTTTATTTTATTTTTATAAAAAATGATACAACTACTTAACTACAAAATAAACTAACTCTTTTAATACGTATTATTTTATGAATAATTTTACACACTTATATAATTATTTTAATGTAGTTTTTAGATAAATATGTAAAGCACTTCTCCTCTGGTACATTATAATTTATGGACGAACAATAAACTTAAAAAAAAATAATAACTTTTGAATAAATATTCACAACTTTTACGTTAAATTATTAGATGGTTTCTTAAATTATAATAAACTATTTAATATTTTTAAGTAAGTCTCTAAATTATTTTTTAATTGAGTCCTAAATTTTTAAAAAATATTTGAAGTTAGTTTTTCAACTGCTTAAAATTGTAAAAAAAAAAAAAAAAAGTAACAATTTGTAATATTTTAAAATTTTTAATAATTTATTCAAAAAATTTACATGCAAGGACCTAATAAAAAAAGTTATTTTTTTCTTTTTTAGTTTAAGGATAATTTAATAATAATAATATAAAATTCTTAAACTTGATATTAAAAATGTGTCTGCGCGGGAAGGAGAATTGATTTCACAATTTTATTACTATTATCACCAAACAATCACACATTCAGCAGGTGGGGTCCACCTCCACCACCGTCCACCCTAGTCCCTACCACATGCGATGCTATTACTATTAGTATTACCTCACTCTCTCCGTCCTTCCTTAATCTCCACCCTTTCCATTACCCCTCCGCGCACCGTTTCACGATGCCGAGGCGGGTCCAGATCGAAGATCCCAAATACGACGACGTTCCGGAGGAAACGCTGCGTTTCAAATCCTCCGGCAGCAACGTCTCCGACGACCAAGAGCCCTTCATGGGCGTCAAGGTCCGCCGCAAGGCCTCTCTCCACCGCGACTACAACGGCGACTACCTCAACGTCCCTTCACACCCCTTCCTAATGAAGATTCTACACAAACAAGGTCTTACACTGTTCCTATTATAAAAATTAAACATCAAGTTAGAATCATAAGCGTTTTCTATCTTCGTATCCAAACAGAGTCTAATTCCGTTACAGGGGATAACGAGGTTCTGTTCGCGGATAGGGTTATGAAGTTCACGGGCTCGGGGAAGATGAAACGCTGCGTTTTGATGGTAACCGATTTCGCGATTTACGTTGTGGACCCTGAGGTGGACGCGCTTAAGCGGAGGATAGCGCTTGCGGCGGTTGAGAGGGTTTGTCTGAGTGAACTCAGTGATAACTTCTTCGCGGTGGTGATTCCTTCGGAGTATGATTTGCTTATGGCTAGCACGCGCAAGACGGAGATTGTTACGGTGTTGGTTGAAGCTACCAAGTCCAAGAGCGCGTCTGGCTTTGAACTCGATGTCGTTTTCTCCAACAGGTAAACCGCGGTCACGTGTCGTTGACTGAGCGTTGATTGTGTGATTCTGTTGTTTATCAAGTTGTTTGATGCACAATTCGTGACTTGGTATTGTGAAATAGTCATGTTTGTTGTGAAATGGTTTGAACATTGGGGTAAATGGTATTATGTTATGCTGCAATGATGTGGGTTTTTGTTGGAGTCCTGGGGTAAATAGGTGGATTATGTATCCACTTTTATGTGGTGTGTTCAACGAGTTTTAGAGTGTGTTTGGTAAAATTAATTTATAAATTAGTTGAAAGCTTATAAGCTAGAAGCTGTAATCACAGAAGATTATAAATTAACTTATTGAATTGAACATTAGTCGATGAGATTAGTTCTCGTATCAATCAAGTTTATCAAACTGGCTTCTAAGCTTGTCAAATTAGCTTATAAGCTGTTTAAAGGAGCTTAGCTTCTTAAATGTTGCTAAACACACTCTTAGGGTCTAGGAGAAAATAGAAAGGAAAAATGAAATTAAATTTACCATAAGCTAAAATTAGTTAATACATAAGTTAATAAAAATATAATTTAATTACCATTTCGATCTCTATAGTTTCATAAATTTTACTTTTTAGTGCTTGTAGTTAAATACATTCTATTATAGTTTTTATAGAAAACAAAAAATGGGCATTAATAATATTTTGTGGTTGTGGGGATTTTTGTCCACACCATTCAGCAAAAAAATTGTATTGGGACCGAAATAAAGTATTTTTAATTATAAGGATTAAAGAGTAAAATTTATGAAACTATAAGGACCAATAGAACAATTAAACAATTTTTTTATAGAAAAACTAATATGAGAGAGCTTTTATAAATTAACTTATATATAAGCTAGTTTTAGCTTATAAAGAGCTAATTTTGTTTTTCCTTGTTATTTTCTTTCTCATATAAGTGCTTTGGAAAAGTTTATTCAATCAGATCCTTAATAATAAAGGTTGCAGTATGGCACGGAATGGATTTGGTGATGCATTTATGTGCATATTAACATTTTGACATAGTAACATTTTGGTGATTCTGTTAAGGTGACGTGGTTTTAGAAATTTTGTTTATAAAGATTCTGGTAAATGCCATTAACTTATCTAGCTAACCTTCACTAAGAATTTTTATGATGGAAAGGAAAATGACATGTTTCAACTGATTCTCTTTTAATCTTTCAGAAAAATTGTTATTGCTTTATGCCCCAACATTACATTATTTAACATATGAAATTCTATTTGATGATTTTTTTTTCTTTCTTCAAATTTTTGTATCTACAATGCATCTCATGTTCCCATTTCTGATGTCCCAAAGCTAATTGGAATATGATAGGTCCTTGCATGCATGATAAGGAATACCTGCATGCTAGTGGCCACCTACACTATCTCATTCACTAGTCCCTTAACTGCAGAAATCTTATTAGATAGATAATATTGTATTCAGTATGTAATAACCAAAGCTGTATTAACATTCCCTAACCCATAGTTTTAAATTGGTTTCTATTGAGAAAAAAGGTTTCTGTTATGTTTGACCAAGGGTGGGTTTTGGCTGCTTTCTATGAACTTTATGAAATTTTCTAGAGCATAAATTATAATTATGTTGACGTGGAACTTTAAGATATATCACTAAAGGCTTATTTGGCATTTCCTGTGTAGGTTTGAGTATAATGCCGCATCTGACTTGGTAAAGGAAGTTCAGTTTGAGGAAGTTGAAGGTACGTGGAAAACTTTTATTTTTCTTCCCAATTTGGCAGGAACAAGTTGGTAGTCATTATCATGAATGTGACTGTTCCATCCATTTTTATATTTCTTTGTAGAGTTCTTTCTGCCTCGTTCTTTTTAAGGTTATTTTGTTTCTTTATAAATTTCAGGGGGTGTCAAAACAAGAATTTTGAGGAAGTGAATTATGGTCGACAATTTTCAAGAGCTTTCTGTAATCTGTAAACTATGCAAGAGATACATACACCTCAATGATTTTTTTGAGTGATAGTGTGGAATGTGTTCTTCCGATAATAGGTTTTCCTTTTAAGGTGAATTCATCTGTAATTATGATGTCATAAATTTCAAGAGAAAAAGATGAAAGATATGCATGATGTATGCTTTCAACTTGAAAATAGAAACGAGATTTATGTACTGGATTTATCAATATCAAATGTGATTATATCAATTTCTTGGAACAAATATGAAATCTGTGGTAGTTTCCATTTCATTTGCATCATTTATTTTGTATTGGTCATTATAATGACTTTTACTGTGGAAGGCTCAAAACTTGCTTTATCTTTAGAACCTACCCTTGATTTTTGTTTCAGGTAACCCTTGATTTTATTGAAGCATAGTACCAAATTCATGTTGGATATCCTTCAATTTATATGATCACCCCATTACAGAAATTGATATCGTTGTTTTAAATTTTTAATTAGAAATCTGTCTAGCCGTGCTTGGATTACCTTTGACCGGTTAAATTTTGTACCCAAATAACCCAAGTTAAGGAGCTCATTATTTTCGGCATGATCATGATTCGGTTGATAAAAGTAAAAACTTAACTGGAAATTTGGTTCAACTTTACTGTACTGAGGTGTTGGTTTGAAGAAACGCTTCTGATCCAGTTCTGTTTTGACAAAGTTCCGAACTGGATTTTGTTCTTTGAACTGGTTTTGGTTCTGTAGACCGGTTCTATAAACATTTCAAAAATGGCTGTTCAAGAACTGGTTGTTCACCCTTGTTTTGGTTCTGTTTTGCCTTTAGACAGTTCAAAATCTAGTTTTATAATTGCTTTGCCTTATTTTGGTTCTTTTGCCTTCAAACCGTTCAATTCAAGAATTGGTTTGCCAAGCTACTTAAGAAAGACACCCAGCCTGAGAACATCGAAGCTTTAGAAACAACGGAACATCTAGTAATAAAGAAAGCTTTGCAGGAAACTAATCAAATGAACGCAGAAAGCTTTGCAGGAAACTGGTATCAATAAATAAGGTAATAAAGAAATTAGTAAAGAAGTCCATCTAGTAATTACTCGTGATATTATTGGGAGGAAATCATATAAGATCATCCAATTGTGAAAGTACTGTGTAAACGGTAACCGAATTGTAGACCATGAATTAGGAAGAATTGGCTAGTCTTTGAAATTGTAATTCGCTCTCATATTAACTCAAATATGTTTCTGAACCTTTTTAGGATTATTCAAGCCCCTAAGTGGTTAATTGTAGAGAGACTTAAATTAAACCCTAAAACATTTGGAGACTTATTTGAGTTTTCCTTAATTTTAGGAACTGATACAACGGCGAGTTATAATTTGAAGGATCTTCACCATTTACTCCATGAATTAGCTGTGGTACCCCGGAAGTTCAGTATCTAATATTGCTGCAAGCCTAAGCATACAAGCAGAATTGACAAAAGCCTAGTGATGAAAGCGTACAATGATCGAACCAATAATGGACTTCTGCCAAAATATCCTCATCATATAATCTTGTACTGACATCAGATGCTTGTATGTTATTTGCTATACCGCAACAGTTTTGTGTAATACATGATATACAAATAAATGGCTGTTATAGAAGAATGGGCTGTTACATAGATAGACTTTTGTTAAAGGATGTTAAATGAAACTTTAAGATCTTTTGGACCAGAAACTGACTTGTATGGCTCCATTTAAAAGTAACTAAACAAGAGATCTTGAGCCTGCTAGAATGGTGTTGGGGTTATTTTGTGGTGTTTGTTTAAAGGGATATTTTATGAGGGTTAATTTTATAAGGTTATTATTGTATCCCAATAATCATTCCCTCAAACAAGAGACCTAATTCAACCAAGCGGCTCTGATACCACTGTTGGGGTTATTTTTATAAAGTTATTAAACAAGCATACTCCACAATGACGAGATATTGTCCACTTTGCGTCTAAGCCCTCATGGTTTTGTTTTTTGTTATTACCAAAAAGGTCTCTCTAACATTGGAGTATGTGCATTCTTTATAAGTTGTTATTTTTTATATTATTTTATTGATGTGAGACTTGTTTGTATCTCAACAAATGACTCGGTTAATGAATTGCTTTATAAATTACAATATAATGCTGTTTTATTTGAGAATGGTTCGGTTAATTAATTGCATTCTTCCCTGCAGCGTTCATGAAGTCTACTAGGCGTGGAGTATGACAACCTTAGCTACTATTTCATAAACTTAGTCTACCGAAATGACACTAACTAAAGAAACAATTGTTTAATCCTATGTCAAGGCTAATAACTAACCACCGTTAGTACCATCCTCAAAGAAAAGCTCCTAAAGTTGCATGTATGTGTTTAAATTAAGTATGTTCTTATTCCAATGTGTTTTGATTTAGTTTGGTATAACATTCCTTAATTACCAATATTTCATGTCCAAGAGAATAGGTTATGTGGTCCATAGTCATGCATAAGTCCAAATAACGTCCGGGAAGGTTCACTAGTCATGAACTGTATTCTATTCTATCTAATATTATTACTGATACTACATTCTGTCATTGTCTAAACATATTACTTTCTTTTACAATTCTTGTAATCTCAAAAAATATATTTTTTTAAAAGTTTTTTCTATATTATTTATTTTTATTATTTTTGTGCACAAAATATTAATATCATAATTTTTTAACAACTTTTTTAAGTGGTGTTATGAAATTAAATTAAATTGAAGAATTTTTTTTAAATGTTTTAATGATTTTATTATTTCTAACCAATTTGAAACATCAAATCAAATTAAAAAAGAAATACAAAATTTCATATTTCTGGAGACAAAACTATTTAAAGTATTTTTTAAATATGCAAAATTTACACTAGCGGTCTGGTAAGTAAATAAAATTGAAGAAAATTTGTTCTATAATATTATATTCATTCTATATACGTATCACAAAATTTAAAAAGGAATTACTTGTTTCCATTGTTTTTAAACAATCCACAGGATTTTTGCCAAATTTTTTATTTATCAAAAGAAAACACAATATAATATTATAGCATTTTAATAAACAAAATATTCAATAATGTTAAAAAATTAATTCAAGTTAAAGAACAAATTTCTTTACATGTTTTAATTTTATTATTTTAAACAAATTAAGAAACTAAAATTTAAATGAAATAAGAAATACAACTTTGAAGATAGGAAGGATGTGCATGAACATTGCCTGCATAGCCACACTATGAAGGGGAGTAGAACTTCCGTTTCATAAAGTTTAGATATAGATAATAATCTTTGAATGTAAAAAGTCGATGCAAATTTAATCCAGATAAACAATAATTCACATAATCACATATACGTTGATAAATGGGTATTTGGGTGAGATGTTCCTTTTTGTCATTTGCAAGTATAAGGGCAGTTTAGTAGGGATTTTTTTTATATACTCAAGAATTATGATTTTTAACAATCACAAATTTTGAGAATCATGATTTTTTAGAATAACTAAAATATGTTGATTACTTATAAAGTTTCATAGAAATATTCATATAAGATTTTCAAGAATTAAAAATTTTCATATTAGGTTATAATAATATATTCTAGGGTATGTAAATATTTTTTTTACAAAAAATATCCTTATTAAATTAATGTTATTAGATATATTTATTCACTCAAATCTTATTACAAATAGGACATTATACTATTTTAAAAAGTTAAAAACTTATAGTTTAAATTATTTAAATATAGAATTCAATAAGAGAAATAAACAAAAAAAATGCTACATAATAAGTAAGAAGAATAAAAATATATTATTTTATTCCATTCATATAAAAAATTAAAAAAGTATTAACAAATACTATTAAACTACACAAAACAAACTTTAATAATATTAAAGTTGATAAGGTCTAAAAATAATGAAACACAAGAAAGAGAGATATGGGAGGGAGAGAGGGGGAGGGGAAGATGAAGAGAGGGGGAATGAGACTGAGATTGATAGAAAAAGTGAGATAAAGAGAAATAGAAGGAGAGAGAGAGGGAAAAGGAGAGGGGGGAGAGACAAGAGGAGAGGGGGAGTGAGAGTGAGAGTGAGTGTAACACCTCTCAGATTTGACCTCTCAATAGCTCCACTCCACTCCACTTCACACGGTAACACTTTATACAAGAGCCTTAGGTATCTAATTGACCAAAATGAGCTTAATATGAGACAGAGGAGATGGTTAAAGTTCCTTAAGGACTATTACTCTGAGCTTAGTTATCATCCTGGTAAAGCTAATGTAATAGTTGATGTCTTGAGTAGGAAATCCCTTCATGTATCCATGTTGATGGTTAGGGAGCTTGATTTGTTGGAGGAGTTCATAGACCTTATCTTAGTATGTGAGTTGATGATAGTGCATTTTGATAAGAAATTTTGTATGCATTTATTAGGCCTTTTTGACCTTTATATGTATCTTATATTCATGTTTTGACTTAGATTTATGATAGTGGTATTATTTGATGATTGTTGTAATTTTTACTCAAATTTTGGATTTTTACTCACTTTTACACTCTGTTCTTGTGAAGGCCATATCTGGAGCTCTCGATATCAAATTTGTAAGTACTTAGTGTCTATGGAAAGATAAAAGAGATTTCTATAACTGCTTTGTCAGGAGAAATGACTAGTTCAATTGTTAAGGGACCCAAAAGTGTGTTGCAAGGTTACGGTCTTGTGTAGTATTTTCTGTTTGTTTTTTGATTGTATTGTTAACTTGTGTTTAGTGTTGTAATTAGCTAATTAGTGGGATGGGCCTTTGATTAGTTATATTAGGCCTATTAGTTTAGTCTACAAGTAAGTGTAACTCATGTACACTAAAAGAACTTACTTCATTTTTCAGATTTCTGATTACTTATCTTAAAAATTTCTCTAAATTTTCTTTCTAACTTTTTCGAATTTTCAAATTTCTCTCTCTCTCTCCCTCTCTCACGAATTTTGCTATCTCTAAAGATGAATTGCTGGAGCATTTTGACTGAAATGTGTGTCTAATTCATTCATCAATTTGAAGTTTCAAAAATTACGGTAAAATTCAAGTTTCTGACTAATTTTTACCGTAAGAATTTCTCTTCTTCTTCTTCTTTGTTTAATTCTAAATCTGATTCTATTTTTCATGATTATGAATTTCATTTTAGATTTAGAATTGAACAAATATTGGATTTAGATTTAAATCCAAAATTAACCAATAATCCTAAATCAACTGCTTACTGATCTGAATTTTACAAAAATTGTTTGATTGCGATTGCATCTTATGTTTCTATGAAACTCAGTAAATCTAGATTTAGATGTAGCTTTAGATTGCATTTTTGTTGATTTAGAATTAAGAGAATCCAAATTATGCTTTGAAATTGTAAAAATTTTACTGTAAGGATTGAAATCTTGAACCAATGCATTTTTTGATTAAAATTTCTATCTATTTTTGTTTACAATTTAATTACCTTTAAACTGTTTGTCAAAAATTCCTTAGCTAACTTGCATGTCAAGATTCATGTTCTATGGTTTGTGATTCTGGATTCTAACATAGGTTCCCTATATTACAAAAATTTCTAGGGGAAACTAGTTTAATTTGATTGTGAGACAACTATAGCTATAAAATTTGGCGTCGTTGCCACTTTCACAAGTTATAGTTCATAGATTTTATCATGTTCACTAATTGTTTGTTACATTGTTTCTGTATATACTAACCATTTCTGTTGAGTTTTGTACAGGTTTCACAACCAATTTACTTCACCTTGTGAATTCTATTGTGTAAATCTATTTGTTAAATTTTGTTTTTAGTTATTTTTAACTATTTTTTGTATACTTGTTGTTTCTACTGTATTGATGTTGTTGCTGCTATTATTGTATTGTTGTTTCTGTATTTTGTAATTATGTAATTTTATATCACTATAGTACCATTTTGTATTTGTTGTTTTGTTTTTACTATTGCTGTAATTGCTATATTATATTTGCTGGTTTTGTTGTTTTGTGTTAATAATTGTTGTATTTTTACATCGTATTATATACTTGTATTACATATTAGTATTGCATACATGTAATATATATGTTATGTTGTTGAATATGTTGAATGTTACTTATGTGCTGAAATTTTTTTTGCCAATTTGGTGAAGTTGCTCCGGTTGAGTTGAAATTTTGTCAGGAAATATAGAAAAATTATTTTAGAGAATTTAAAATTTTACAATTTTAATTTTTTTTTATTAATACTTAAATTTTAAATTCTTTATAATTTTTTCACTCAAGCACAACATTCTATTCAAAAGTATTTAAAATTCTTCAAAATTTGAATTAATCTATTAAAATCTCGTATTTAAACACATTCTAAAATTCGTAATTAAACACCATTATCTAATCACAAATTATCATGTAATAAATTTGTTGATAATTACCTTCAAAAACATCGAAATTGTTTTTTAATTAATTTATGGTGTAAAATATTTTAAAATAATTTTCCATGTCCATTAAACTCTTCGAATTAAACCCTAAAAGTGAAATGTTTCATAGAAATTTTATAATGTTCACAAGTACATTATCGGAATGAATCCGTTCTTGCTTCCGTTTCATCAACTCCTTTAAATTTGACAACTCCTTCGCAACTAAAACACGAGTAATAAATCTCGATAATTTTAAAACTACATGACTACGAATTACATATGAATTTAAGAGGACAACTTTAGCACTAAATAGGGATGACAAAAATAGTCGTACTCGTGAGTATTTATGGGTAAAATTCGTTACGGATAATAAATGGATAGGCTAATTGGGTACTCGCGCGATAATGGGAACAGATAACTTTTTACCTGTTTATAAACGGGACAGAGGCGGATATGATGATATCTATACCCACGGATACCCGTTTAATAATATTTCTTAAATTAGGATCTACCACATAATCCTAAAACTACACTCTCTCATCTTTGTGATATTTCACTTACTTGTGATATTGATGTATTTTAAGTTATTGATTATCTTGCATTTTTATTATTATTTTAACAAAATTAACGTTAAATACAAGTTCAAAATTAATATTGAATTTTTATTTTTAATATTTTAATGATAATATTTTTATTTTTAGTATTCAAAAAATTCATGAATACCCGCACAGATATAAAGTGAGTATAAGACCAATTTTATCCTGCGAGAAATTATTACCCGCCCCATGGCGCCATCCCTCGCAGTGAATGCGCCAATAAAAATGGAATTACGGGAACAACTTTACATTCTTTATCTATCCTCCTTTATATTCTGTGACTGTGAGTCATATTTAATTCTGTGATGGAACCTACGCACCTGTCAATTTTGCGGGGAACACGAAGAAGAGGACAATTGTGGAGCCCAACCCCAAAATCATGGCAAAAATACAAGATTCCCTCACTAAATAATAGCATAATACAACACCAAATTGAGGGACCCAACTACCATAACCTATGTCTGGTAGGTTAACTACTTAGCACCAATTCTGTTACCAACTTCACTGTTCCTGTTATGGTCAAAATTGAAATTGTGACACTGACTAAATTACAAACAACTTTTGGCTAAATCTTAATCTTAGAAATTGAATTTTTAACCTACTTCAATCTTACAAAATTATAATGAATTAAGTAACTTAATAAACTCAACAATAATCATTAGAATAAGATTTTGCATAATCTTAAAATGTAAATCATAAAGTTTAACTCGAAAATTAACTTATAAGGCGAAGACTAATCTCTACATATTTACATCTCACTAATCGATGAGAAATCTTCACCACTTAATGTGCAAAAGATACTGAAGTTGAAGGTGTCTCAATAACACGAGGGGTTGGAGTGGAACATTCTGATCTAGATTCAGTGGATAATCTATTCTCAGTGTTTACTCTACGAATTTCCTCCACCATTCTCACCACCTCACCAATCTTTGGTCTCTGATCTGGTGTCCTCACAACACATGCCATTCCTATTTGTAACATCTCCACCATTTCTTCTTCAATATTTGGATACCTCAGTAACTCCACATCAAACACTTCTGCAGTCCACTCCTCTCTAACCACAGAATTCACCCATCTAACCAAGTGCACAACTTCCTCACCTCCCTTGGCATGCAAGGGAGACCTCCCTGTTAGAAGCTCTAGCAGCAGGACCCCAAAACTGTACACGTCGGCCGCCGGCGCCGCCTTTCGCGTGTCGGTTACTTCCACTGCACGGTACCCTGTTGCCCTCAGTGATGGATTCATCAATGTTGCAAGACCAATGTCTGATAGACAACCATAGCCTCGGGAGTTGAGGAAGATGTTTGAGGCCTTAATGTTTCCATGTGTTAGTTTCCCTCCATGTTGAGCATGGATGTGAGCAATGCCTCTTGCTACACCAATTGCTATTTTCAATCGGCTATCCCAGTCTAGAGAAATTCTACCTCCCCCTCTTTTGCCTGCATTGTAGATAAAGTTGGCAAAGCATAGTTAACTTAGCAATGCCCTTAGAAAATAATGTCTAGGATGCCACATAATTTAACTTAGTTACATATTTTAAGTCTCATGACTTCTTGCAACAAATGAATATTTAAGCCAAAGTCCTGTTCTTGCTAATTAAGACGGGAAGGAAATTACTTTTCCATGGATTTGGGGAAAAAACATTCATTTTGTAACTTCTTTAATCATCTTTTCACCTAAATCAATATCTGTATGGAACCCCTTCCAAGAATTAGGTATTCACAAGTTTTGGTGTTATTACAATCGGTGACAAATTTTAATTTAATGACATAGTGTCTGTTTCTTCTAGGAGAGACAAATAAATAAAAAAATTAAAAATGAGCTTCTTCATAAACTTAAACTAAATTATGCATAATTAAAAATAAAATTTTGGAAAAACAAATAGGAGAGAGATTTTACAAATTATATTACACACATATATAAGTTAATTTTAGATTATGAAGAAGTTCATTTCATTTTTTCTCATTTTTTTTCTCTTAAAAATATTTTTGGAGAAGTTTTCTCTAAATAGACCCATATTAGTATGCATTTAAGGAGGACAAAAGAAATGAAAGGAAGTACCACTACTTTGCCTTAGTATTCTTAAAAGACTACTTATACTTGACCATTACAGAAAAACAATTTTAATTGTATAGTTGTATAGGCATGTAATGATGAATTAAATGATCTGAAAATAATAAGGGAGAAAAGGTTATCAATATAACATACCATGCAAGATTGAAGAGACACTGCCCTGTTCGTAGTAATCATACACCATAAGTTTCTCCTCCTTTGAATAGTAATATGCTCTTAGTGCAGCCACATTGTCGTGCCTAATCCTCCCAACCATCTCCATCTGCTGTTCAAACTCGCGTTTTCCAACCGTGACATCCTTCAACCTCTTCACTGCCACGGTTGTTGCATCTTCTAGAGCAGCCTTATACACTGTCCCAAACGTGCCCTTTCCAAGCACCTCAGCAGAAGCTCTCAACAAGTCTTCCAAGTCAAATGCAAGATTGCAACCCTCAAAGAAAACAATTTTGTTCTTGTCTCTACTTTCAGAAACTTCTTTCTTCCTAGACACTTCTCTTTTGTACTTCTTCACTTGATGTCCTTCTTCACCACCTTTTTTCTCATAGCAGCAAACAATCACAAAAGCTGCTACGACTGCAAGTGCCAGCACACAACAACCAATGATGATACCTAACAATGCTGGTTCCCTAAGCCCTTTGGATTTTCTCCTTGTGGGATGAGGATTTGGGGGTTGAACATGAAGAGACGGAGGAAGTGCATACGAATATGTAACATTGTTGCCAGAAAAAGATCTAATTGGGAATGTCTCAAGGGATTTAGGCACAACCCCACTAAGGTTATTGTTTGCAAAATTCAGCTCTAGAAGGGTGGGGATATTGAGATCAGGAATTTCACCTGAGAGAGAGTTGTTGGCTAGGACTAAAGATGTGAGATGAGTCAAATTGGAAAGTGAAAAGGGTATGCTCCTATTGAAGGAATTGTTGGATAAATTGACAATGCTAAGATTTTTCCAAAGTGAAAAGTCTGATGGCAATGGACCTGAAAAATTGTTGGATTGGAGATACAGATGGATCAAATTCCTTAGCTGAGAGAAACCCGAAGGGAAAGAACCGGTTATGCTATTTGATGCAAGACTCAGAGTTTGGAGTTGTGAGAGAAGGCTAAGAGTGTTAGGTGGAATTGGACCACTCAAACCGGTACTAGTTAGTTGGAGTGCTATAACTCGTGATTTGTCAGTGTTGCAGGTCACTCCTATCCACCTGTTGCACACAGAAGATCTGTTATCCCAGTTGAGATTATGAGAGTGGTTAATGTTGTGAAGGAAATCAAGCAATGCTAGTTTATCTTCCACTGGCTCAGCTCCAACACCAAACAACATTGCTCCAATCATGAACAAGAGGTTCAACAACATCTTGGCCATTTTCTAGCTCCAAACAAGGACTCCCTCAAGGTGTTGGACACCAAACTGGAGAACAAACAAATGATTAGATGATTGAAGGCTAGTGTGTGATGTCTTTGCAAAGGTAAAACAACAAAGACAATTTGGGGTTATTTTGTGGACATGTTAGTGTTAGAGTGTACGGTTTGTATTCTATTAAGACATATTCGGATTATTTTCTTTGATTCTGATCTAAAAGGCTAAACGACAGCATTAAAGTGTCTTTTTGCGTCAAAATAAGCAGCTCCTGTTTGACTTGGAAAATCAGCTTCTCCTCGTTAGCTTTTTTCTGTTCACCTACTTTGTTTGGTTCCCTACCAAGTGCAACTAAAAAGATGCAAACCAAAACTTTGAAACTAATAGTGGATGACCCAGTTTAGTAGTCAATAATCTGGTAACCAAGACTGTGCGAGCAGAAAAAAGAAAAAGAATATACTATTTTGTGGAAATGGAATCTAGAAAACCAGAAAAATTTTACATATGTATACACAACAAAGTATAAAAACATAGAGAATGACGTCTATTCTTTCAGCTGTTTTGGAAATAATTCAATTGTAACAAAAGTATAAAGCTAAAAGTCAGAGCACTAAACACTTTCAAAGAGAGAGAAAAGGGATACTCACCATACTCCTGGATTCCAAAACTCACCAAACTAGTTAGCAGTGCAGAGACATCCAACAAATAACAATGTCCCACAAAACCTCATTATGAATACACAAGAGCCAGAAAAGTTGTGAATTTGGTGGAGGGTAGCAAGAAAACCAGTAGGTCCAGAAGACCATGACCATTTTTAGTATACAGATTCATCTAGTTTCAGAAGCTGTAAGAAGATGAAAACCCAAACTGGGGCTTTTGCAATGATGGTGCTATATTAGTGGTGATGGAAGATTGTGTAGTATATGCTTGAGAAGCCAAAAGCTAAAGATTTTTTATGCCACAAGAATAGGAAGGGCCATTTGGACTAACCCATTGGAGTAATTAGACAAATATGAACTTATGTCTATCTATGAATAAAACATTAAACATAAGCTATGAACCACCGATTCTAACACGGTCACCAGATACAACACGTACACGGAACAAAGTTAATGTCCTAAAATATAGGACACGGGTACAGTGCATGCGGTGGAGAGGTGTAAATTGCTTGTCCAACGCCTGTCTGACAAGTGTCTTGTTGAACAAAATGACAGGACATTATGTAGTGTTTCATAGTCATAAGACATACCTGTTGAATGTAACTGATCCTATAGGTGCTGCTGCTTTTTCTGCTTCCCTTGGTTTATACTTTCTATCTAATCAATATCTTTTAAGAGTACTTTCTATGGCTCAGCTTATGGAGATGTGAATTCACAGAGTGGAGATACAATAATAAAGACAAGTGCAGGTTGAGAGATAGGACGAGGGTGGTGACCTCATGAGCTTTGTCTTGAACTTCGTTTACACATGCATAGGTGACCCATGTGCTACAGTGCTACTCTATACTATAGCATAGCGTATTTCGTTAAATTCTATCATGAAAACAGCTTCAGTCTAGAAAACTATCATTCACCTTTGAATATAGTATATCTTTGACATTAATGGGATGAATGCTCATGATTTATCTCATTTGTGCTAATCGAAATAGTCAACAGTGCATGGAAAGTGAAACACATAGACTAGGTAGTATAATATAGCAGCTATTTTTTATTTTTTTTGAATATTATAGTTGCTGTTTTGTCTTTGTTTACGTGTCCTAACACCCTCTTAAGGAAATGAATAAATGAATAAAAAGGTTAAATACGTTGATTAATTTGGGGGTGGATTAGGACAGCATCAACTTCATAAAATGATGATGTTGCTCCACCGAAAGAGCGGGGTTCAGCATTGTTGTTGTTAGGAGCACCCTACCACGGACCAATCATTGGTCAGCATTTCAGGACTTCACATTTCACATTTTTTTTATTCGTTAGTAAATAATATTACCACAATGAAAATCAGGACCAACGAAGATAATTAGGATTCCACCTAATTTTTCATATATATGTTTCGACCCGGAACTTGGTTTAACTTAATGGTTCTCACATTTGACTTAGTTGATTGTATTTACATGTGTTTGGTAAGACTACTGAAAATTTGTGAGATGGTTAAAAATTTATAAACTATGTAAAAGTTGTGACAAAGTTAGAAATTTATACATTAGTCGATTGAATTGAAAATGTTTAGTAATGTTAATCGATAAACTAATTGATAAATGTAAAATTTGATAATATAATTTATATAATGAGAGAGAATGATAGGATAGGTAAAATAATTCTTAAATTAAAGAGGGTAAAAAATGATTTTAGGGAAATTAACAAGGGTAAAAAGAATTACGAACTTATAAATTATAAAATACTAAGTTATGAAAATAAGCTATAAATCTTACAATTAGAATCTCTTATCAAATAATCCCAAGCGTGTGGTTCAGCGGTAGGGGTTGATCCACGCTTGCCTCCAACGTAGCGAGGAGATTAGTCACCGCTATCAGCGGTGGATACTCCAGGGACGAACAAAAAAAAAGAATCTCTTATCAAATAAGTTTATTTTAATTAAAGTAATTTATAAGTCTAAAAAAAAAAAAAAAACTTCTAAGCTCTCTTGAAACATTTGTTGCACACACTATAAATTTTTTTTTGTCAGCAAAATATACAGAAATAAATAGACAACAATGTCAATTTATTTATGCTCTTCTTTAAATTCACACATAGTTAATTTCCAAAAGCCACTCAAATCAGAAAGCCACATTATTGCACAATCCTCTTTAGGATACCTTCTTTTGAAGCAATTGTGTCAACCGAATCCGAATGGTTGCAGAGGAAAGTAGTCTATTGAAAGTGAAAATTAGATTAACATTGATATTTTGATCAAATATTTTAAAGGACTATTGTGATAACGTACGTAACATGGTTTTTTTCTCTTATATTTTAAGTCTAAATCAATCAACCACTCACACACACACTCTCTCTCTATATATATAAAAGTGTAGTTAGGTATTATTAATTTTATTTTATAAATTAAAAATTTTAAATATATATTATATAATAATTGATTGAGATTATCAACATTTAATAATTTTGAATCGTCTAATTTTTTTTTTCTTCATGTGAGACGCTAATCCTCGTTTGTCAAGTGGATTGTGATTTGTGAGTGATTGAATAAAAGATTATTTGCTTACATAACAAACTGATTTTGGAAAGATCAATGGTTAGCCAAAACAATTTTTTATTGGCAATAATGTCATACACTGGCCACCTGCTTTTCCCACCACAACTGTTTCTTGTTTAATATTATTAAAACAACAAAACGTTATACCCTCACACAATTAATAACAAGAATAAATATTTTAGAGTAAATTATACAAACATATTGTCTATGTATTTTTTTTTCCTTTTAATTCACACAATATTTTTTTTTTAACTTCATGATCAATTTTTTTTTATAAGAATACAGGATGTAAAATGTTTCTTCAATAACGCGATGTGTAATGAATTTTAAATAATAAAAATGAGTAAAATAAAAATAAAAACAAAAATATGATATGAATTTTGAAAAAATCACATAGATATTAGTGCAAGTTGCTCAATATAATAACCTATTGAGGAAAAAACTACACATTTTGCCCTCAAACGTAGGCAGGGGATTTTTGCTAATTGACAGTGGGCTTCCTGTAAAGTCAAATAATTTACTGTTTTTTTTTTGACAGCATAATTTGCTTGCATTGAAGCACGAAACTATTATAAAGAATAAACTTTGCTACACAAGTTTCCCTTAAGCATAGGCAGGAATCTTCTTTAATTGCTAATTGACGGTGGCTTTCTCTAAAGTCAAATAATTGCTCATAGGTATGCAAATTAACACAATCAACTTAAAGTTATTTTAAGATTATATATATATATATATATATATATATATATATATATATATATATATATATATATTTTAAATACTCTCTTCGTTTTTATTTATAGTCATTTTGACATTTATTTTTTTTATTTTTTTCATTGTCACTTTTTTAAAATTAATGACTTAATAATTTTTTTTTCATTTTTATCTTTGATAATTAATGTATGTTTAATAAACAATGTGTTTATTTATTTTTCAATGTACCTATTTCTTCTCTAATCACTTAAAGGGTATAACAGGAAAATAAATATTAAATACTTTAAAAAACTAAAATATTAATTATTTTCTTAATTTTTGTGCATAACTTTAAACGTGAAAAAAAAAATGGAGGAAGTATAATAACTTGAGAACCGCTATATAACACAACTCATATATAGGGATGACAAAAATATTTGTATTTATGAATAAAATTTATTATGAATAATAAATGGGTAACTTAAATAGACACCTACGAATAATGGATACGAATTTTTTTTTACCTGTTTATAAATAGAGTAAGGACAAGGACGGGTACCGTACTCATACTCACATATACCCGCTAAATAATATTACTTAAATATTAATATTTTTAGCTTACATTTTTTATATTTTAAAGAAATTATCATTAATTACAATTTCAAAAAAATTAATATCAATTATTTATCTCTAATAGTTTAATATACTTAACATCAAATATAAGTTTAAAGTTATTTATAATACTTTTTTTAATTTTTAAAATAATTTACAAATATCCATGAATATTTATAAAATTCACGGATATCCGTTAAACGGTTACCTACACAGGTATGGGACGTATAGAGAAAAATTTTATCAAATGGGGTGGGTATAATATCGTACTACCCGCCCTCACGGGATCCCATTGTCATTAGTGACACGAATCTAAAAATTTTAAGTTGTGGGGGCAACTTAACCAAATATATAAATTTATAATACCAATTATCTAATATAAAATAGAAATTAAAAAGTGAAATTATCTTATTATAGTTATAATATATAATTGAACAACTATTTAAATATTTATCTTTCATTCCTATTTTTTTATGATATTCATAAAAAGATCTATTTTTATAAAAACTAGAGGAAAAAGAGACACATCGTACCTTTATCTTTAAAAGAAGAAAGGAAAAACAATAAGTTGTTATTTACGGTGCAATAAATTTAGATACCACTAAATATCATGATCAAGTAAAAATAAGAGAGAAAATAGATAAATAATAGACAAATTAATTTAAAGGTAGTTATAAGGATAAATTAGTTTAAAATTTGTGTACTCAAAAATGAGTATCTTCTATATTAATAGTATATATATTCAATAACAAAAGTGAAGAACAGACATTATATGAACAATTATCTTTTCTTATAGTATCTCCTTTCAATAAACAATTATATTTTCTTAATTTTTAATTATATGTTGTGTGATAATTATTCTATTTACTATTTATTTGCAATGATTAATTCGATAATTTTTCCTAACTAAAATAAAAAATAAATAAATACACTAACAATTATAACATATAAAATTAAAAGGATTCAAAAATTAAAATAAAAAAAACAAAAAACTCAAAATAATTATTTTTAATAAACTAAATCGTGTTATCTTTAATTATTATAAAGAGAGGATTTTTCATTAAAAATACATTATATTAATAACAAAATTTGAAGATAATTTTGATGAAAAAAAGTGAAAAATTTGTTTATTAAAATAAAAAGTGAGCAAAATATTAATATATAATATATTAAATATATAAAGTGGACAATTAAAATATAATAATAATAATAATAATAATACATATAAAATTTAAAAAGTGTGAAATATCAGTGGGAGCATTTGCCCCCACTTTCTCTAACATCCTTACTCATATACTTCTTATAAAAAAAAATCCTTATTTTAATATATAAAACATTTTTACTCTGAAGGTCTATTTGTTTAAAGAAAAGGAGGAGAAGTGAGGGATTTTAATTGATGGAATCATGCCTAGGAAGGAAAGGGGTAACACATTGAAGAAGCCAAGAGGAGTTGGCTAGACATGAAGGATTGGGACAGTCAAGGCCCGATGGGCCCAATGGGCTTGGAAGGCCCAAGTTGAGCTTTACATGGGCCTATCTTGTTATAGCCATTTTGTTCTCATGTTTTGTTAGTATAGGTTCCATATATTTTGCTCTTGTATTTTGGACCACATAGAGTAGCATTTTTGAGCCATAGGCTTATTGGGCCTAGTTTTGGGATTCATGGGCCTTTGGCCTTTTGGTACCCAATATTGGGC